CCTGAGACACAGGAGAAGAAAAATCCCCCTTACAGAAGGGGACACCGACACTTGCAGTGCCACATCAGTCCTTGCATTTGGCTTTGCAGCAAGGGTTTGGGACTTACTGGGGAACCCAAAACCCGAAGCCTCATATTTAATCAAACAAAAACCTTGTTGTGGCTCATAGCAGCAATAGTTAGTTATTCTGTGTTTCCTTTGCCGCCTCAACAGGGAGGACCATGTGCCTCTGAGCAGAAACCACTGGTGACCTGCTCTGATGGTGTGGTCCCAGGCCCTTGCTGAGACAGGAGGTGTGACCTTACTGAGCAAATAAGAGTAATTCCTCCCATAGAAGCCATTCTCTGCAGCTGCTGGATGTAAAACAGATGAAAACTTTGTTTCCTGTTTTAATTTTGCTTATATTTTCGGTGATAGATGATGACTTATGAATGGTATTTACGCAAGCTGGCAAAGCATTTACCTGGTGTTTATTTTCCTGGGAACCGGTGGAATCCTGTGGAAGGAGTATTACCCGATGGGACATTTGCTTTTAATCTCCATCGTTTCCTCAAAGTAAATAAACAGTAAGCATTTCTTTCATATGTAACAGCTTTCCTAAAATCTTCGACCATTTTTTTCGTGAAATTGTTTATGGAACAGCTTGGTATTGCATCCAAAAGACCAATTTTCTCCACTGACTTCCTCCCCAGTGGTGAGATTATTTTTGCAATTAAAGCAAATATCTATGCAGAAGTAGCTCCATCAGGATATAATGTTGATAGTTGTTTTGAGGTTGGTTTGGTTTTTAGGAAGGAAAAGTAAGGAGGTGAGAGTATTTACTGATTATTTGTTGTTGTTGATACAATTCATCACAAAACAGAAACATTCCCGTGTACTCAAAATGATGATGGTTGTAGAGCAAATCGCTGCTGCTTCTCCTTCATGAACATTGTGGCCAACTGATTAGCATAGAATGAATGTATTCCAGGAATAATCATCATATAAAAATAGCTTAGTAGGAGTGGAGAAAGGATTAGATACTCACATGAATACGAATAGCATCTGCATTTAGACTAGCGAGGGTGAGCCTTGCGAGCGTGGGTAGGCAGAAGAGCACTGCCAGATGCCGTTGAGAAGAAACAGGTTTCTCCTACGGCTTCTGACATGGTAGTGAAGTCCAACACAGGGAAGCGGATGGGTCTCCTGCGCTGGCTGCACAAGATGTGCCATGCTGGGTGGGGTATTCACTTGCAGCAGGAGAGCTGTGACGCAGACTGACCCAAAGACTTGCCCTTTCCAACGTGAAATGGTCTGGACGGGTATCCGTGCCACAGAAAACGTTGTGCTGCTTAAGACCTGTCGCCCGGCGTGGGGTGCGTGGTTTGATCAAGCACATGGGATGGCCCAAGGTCTCTGGCATGGCTTCATGATTGCTCTCTCTGGGTTTTTTTTTCCAGTAAGGAAGTGTTTGTCTGCATAGGTCTCCATGAAGGTGACTCAACATGGAGAAGGAGCTATTCGCTCTGGCCATGGGGTACGTGTGAAAAGTTAGTTCCTTCTGATGTTGTCTTTGACCCAGGAGAGTGGATTCGTCTGACAAGAAATCTCTATAACTGGACTGAAGGCTACGGCAGGTAGGAGGCAAAGGTGTGCCTGTTCCTTCTTGGTCATCGTTCTCCTGCCAGCAGCATAACCACATCCATTGCAGTGTTAGAGAAATTAAACATGAGCTGTAATCATAATATTTTGTGGTTTGGAACATATAATAAGTCCATATGTGGTATTTTTATTAGTATTAAAAATAGAGGGGATGTTTCTAGTCAAATATCAGGTCCAATTCTGATTGTAAAATTTGATCAGGAGCCAAAAAACATTGAGGACTTGGGACATCCAAAGCTTTAAATGTCATAGACTGAACTGTGATGGGTGGTGAAAAGCATCTCTCACTTTGAGGATGGCTGGGATGCTGTGAAACACCTGATATATCAGAGGCTCCTTCTGTGGAGGGAGGAATGAAGTTTGATGAGTGACTGAGGATCGGCTGAATTCCCTGCTGTCACAGCCATAGCCTTCGTGACGGGTTTTCTTCTGCCTCAGAGGTCTGTGGCTGCCTGGCGTGGAAGGGATGACTGTGCGGTGGCTGAAACACAGTGACACGGGTCTGATGGCTGAATTTTATTCTTGCTCCCATTTAGTTTCAAGCCCTCTTCCTGGGAAGCTGTCGCCAACGAGGAGATGTGGCAAGCCAGGTGATGCTCCTTTGCTCCCTTCCAACAGCCGGTGGGCGATGCCAACTCGCTGGCGTGTAAATACGCGCCAAAGCGGGCAGCTTGATGGTGCGTGGCCTTACTGCATCTAAACGTGCCAAGCTTTGGAAGGAAAAGCTTGGCAGAATGAGGCGAAGCATGCATGGCCTCCAGCAAATCCTTCAGGAAGGCGATCGTTTTGTTCACCAAAAGGTTTCTGCTCGAAGTATCGCGAAGGAGCAGAAGGTAGTTGGGACACAGGGTGAGAAAATACATCCTGGAGAGAAATTTGTATCACTGACGACTTAAATGGAGGTGCTGGTGTACTGTCCCGTACATGGACATGTGGAGATGTGTGTCACCGTGTGATGTGAGCGCGTTACGTTAAGCAGTTGTTATATGGAAGTTTTTCTTTTCCTAGGATGAAAACAGCGTTCTTCATATTTGACCTTGCAGAAACTGCTAGCGTGACCGCAGAAATGAAGTCACAACTTTACACATTTGCGTACACTGTAAGTTGTGTATCGTGGTTATGAATGCTGTCTCCATCCTTTTTTTTTTTTTTTCCCCTTTTTTTATAATTTCTGGACTCCATGGAAAGAGGGTGTTCCCTTATAGGTCCTGTAATCTGCATTCTCCCTTGGTCATCCAAACCAGATTCAAAGAGATCCATCCAGATTCAAAGAGATGTCTTCAGGGATTTTAGCCATTCCTCCTTGCCCCCTCAGTCACAGAAGATGCCAAACACTAACCAGTCAACGCCCCGCTTTTGCTATAATTATGTTGTCTGTGCTGGGCTCCAAACTCATGCCAAGAGATTGCTTGTCCTGAAGTCCCCTCTATGCACTTGTCCCCTCTGTCATTACACAGTCAGGCATCCGAGCCAGCAAGTGTAAAATCCGACAGTCTTCTCGCTGCAGATTAATTCTGCTGCATCTCACACCAAAGAATATCACCCATAAGCTGGTGTAGGTATCTCTGGAAATACTGCACTGGCCGAGATGCCAGCAGATGCACAAAATGCTTGGTCTGTGTCAGCAGAGAGGGGTGTTTCATACCCCAGCAAAGAGTCAACAAATAGTTTCAACTCTTACCCATTTTGCTGTGATTTTTGCTGTTCTGCAAAGTTCTTGGGTGCGTGCCTGCCACTGAGCTTATGAATATTCCCACTCAAGTCACCAGACTGCTTAAGTCCTGTGGAAGATGTCCCGATCTCCTGAAATATTGACTAAACGTTTTTCCAGGCACAGCAGTTCAATCTCTTTTTTTTCCCCCGGCGTAATGTCCCCCCTCTCTTGGGGAAGCGCATAACGTGTGGTGGGGTTGTCACCATCAGCTGCAGCATTTCTAAATAAACAGCTGCTGTAGGAAGGGAAACGTTTCGGCCCCCCTTGGATTTCTGATTCATGCTATTGCGCGTCGCATGGCAAACACAGAGTTACAGAAGTGCTCCGACTCCGGACTTGGGCATCTAAATAGCATCTGTTCCTTTACAGGCTTTTTTGAAGCACTGTTAAGAGCTGTTGGTCTCCTTCGTTCAATTAATTTGTGTGTGTGTGTCCCCCTTTTTTTTGTCCCTTTAACAGTCGTACAAAGAAATTGTCAACTCTCATCCAAATCACCCGGTCAACTGGCACAAAAACTACGCCATTGCCTGCGAGAGGATGCTGCGCCTGCATCGGGTGGACGTGGATCCCGAAGCGTTGCTCTCTGAAGCTGTGAAACATTTTCTTCTCTATGCTGAGAAAGCGGAGGACGATCCCCAGCGCCAGGATATTCTGCAGGCTGTGAAGCACCTGAAGAAAGAGCTGCAGGGGCTGAGGAAAATAAAAGAAAATCTGCAGCTGGGAGCTGGGTAGCACCCAGTCTTCCACCCGCCTGGTGAAGTGCTGAAATTCTGAGGTCAGGACAGAAGATCTGCCTTAGTCCTTGACGACGTGAGAATGGTTTTAAAAGGTGACAGAAATGGCAGTGGAGAGGAAATCAAGCGTGATTGCCTCTGCAGGAACGTACTGTTGTTTGGTCTTTGATCGCTGTTGCCAAATGAACTGTTTGTGTTGTTTTGGGTGGGGGGGCAAACAGCTCATCACTAAATAAAATACTGGATTTCAAAAATGAGAGTTTTCTTTTTTACAAGAAACCTGTGAGTCTGTCATACTGCAAAGACCTTTTATTTTTTTTTATGAATGCAGCATCCTTTATAGATGCAAAAAATGTGTTTAGCCTTTAAATGTTTCTTCTGTTACTGAGCCAAGAGGTTTTCCACATCCATTTTTCTTTAGCTGTGCTGTGTCTTTATGGTCATGGGGCGGCATGGTTGGGTCGGTTTCACAGAATCACAGAATCACAGAATAGTAGGGGTTGGAAGGGACCTCTGTGGGTCATCTGGTCCAACCCTCCTGCCGAAGCAGGGTCACCCAGAG